GGACATTTCGAATTTGCACTGTCGTTTTGTACAGGCCGAACTTCGGAGCTAAACTGAAAACCGGTTCTGCTCGATGCCAGCGCCAACGGACCCAACGGTTTCGACTAAACGTAACAATAGAAATAAAAGCCATCTACCAGGGGTGCGTTCCAAAACCTACAGTAAAACTATAATTACATCTCTATACGTTTTGGATCGCAGCCCTGAAAGGTAAAATCCCCGCTCCGGGTGAGTATACCTGCTGCGTGCTATTAGAGCCTCGACGCTGCTCAAGAGATTTGTTGCGCTCGGAGGCCATAACTTCCGAACGGCTGCGAATTTCGATTTAAAACGTTGGGAACATATTCTTACAATGTTAAATAAACATTTTATGCAAAAAAAAAAAATTCGATTTTTTGAAAGTTCTAATTGGATTTCCCCCCTTAAACTGACGACACTTTGGGTGAATCGTCGGTAAGATACTGTGTTAGACAACGTGACATTGAGTTTCTTCGATTTGTTTTCGCCTGAAGGAAGGAGAACTGACGCTGAGTACCTCAATGTGTACAATCCATTAAAGCAAAAAGTACCTTAATAATTACAACGTTTAAATAATAGTTGACGCGACGGTGTATAATTTCGCGTAGAGCCACCATCGGTGAATCAACCAACGCACGAAGTATCTCTATCCAATTAAAGTGACATATTACAGAAGGATTCGCGAACTACTGGATTCTATGGACACTGATTGGCGCGAGTGCGTTAACATCGATCAGCATTTGCACTTAATGAGGACGAAAGCTAGCAACTCACAGTTTTGCGTAATGGCTTTCTTGAGTTTCGTCTTGCCGTCCGCAGTAATCTACTTCGGGGGTGATAATGCGATAGCTATCATACATCAAGTGAACGGTGACAATTATACTTCACGACCGTTTCCTATGAAGGTGCTATTTCCTTTTGAGGCTGAGCAATCACCGTTCTACGAGTTGCTGGTCGTCTTATTATTTCTGCATGGAGTATTAACGGTGTATACGGTTGCTATTATAAACGGGCTAATCTTTTCTCTGGTATGTCTTGTGAGATTCTATTACATGTCGATTCGTAACTTTAGAATATCAACGTAGAAACGTAATACAGTCTATCTTGCAATTTAAGGTAGTTTAAATTGCGAAATTGCGAAAACGTGTAAATACGTGATAATTGTACGATAATTGCGAAAAATGTCTTTACATAAAATCCGACAAGGCATGATTTTTTATTAGAAAGTTTGAAAATTTACAGACTTCCTGTCTGAAAATTGTTATAATTGAATAATTGATTATCGCTCACACACACACACACACACATAAAAAAAATATTACGTACAAATTTTTTCAATAAATTGAAATATACTGCAAAACGCATTTTCTTCTTTAAACATAATACTTGAAATCTTTGCAGATACTTAAGTATATTTTAGGTATTTCATGTAAGCGGACAAATCGATATCATATATCAAGAGTTGAAAACTATATCTATGAAAGTGAGCTATGACGGATCTGCTGAGTTTACAATAGGAATGCTGATCGAAAAGCACAATAAAGTCATCGAATTTGCCGAAAATGTCGATAAGCTATATTCCTTTATAACTTTTTTGCAAATTTTTCCTAATACTTCACTTATTTGCATACTGGCAGTCACCACTATCGCTGTAAGTATCACAGAGTCCTTTCGAATGAACGGTAATCGAAATTGCAATATATTCAGTTTTTCTAATGGTTTAATATAACAGTCTGTTAATAGTGACGTCAGTCTAGCGAAAAGCGGATTACCTTACGCCGGTATAACGGCGGAGATATTTATATTTTGCTTCATTGGAGAATATCTTGGTATTAAGGTTAGTGAACATTTTTAAGAGTAATTGCTAACTATAAAATCAACAATTGTGTCACATAACTTAATTTGATATATAGTTATTAACAATAATCTTCGAATCGTTTAAGACAATTTCTGGCTTAAAACGGATGTTATGAACTATTCATATTTTAAATTATATTCTGACTTTACATTTAACCTGGTATTCTAAATGAACCATTTCGTATATTTTATATTTCGTGTTCAACAAGCATTAGTATATACCTGATATATAATATATAGTGATATATGTTTACTTTCTATTGTATTACAAATATTAAATGATGGATTCTCTCTAGTAAAAAAATAGGATTACTAATCTTTTTACCAGTGAAAGATATATTTTACATTAACTTTTGTTTGTTGCTTTGCCCCCAGAGTAGGTCACTCGCTGATGCGGGGTATAACTCTTTATGGTACAATATGTCACCTAGCTACAGTAAAAATGTATTGTTCATAATAATGAGATCTCAGAAACAATTGACCATCACGGCCGGAGGATTAATGAATTTATCATTAGAAGTCTTCACGAGTGTAAGTTTGTATACTTCCTCATGCATTATTCTTAATCTACATTTTATACTTTTCTATATTAATGACAGCACATGTTACAAAATATTATTATTATTATTATATATATATATATATATATATATATATATATATATGTAAAGGCTTCTGCGAATAATAACGTGTTTCATCTTATTTTAGATGATGAAAGCTTCGGTATCGTTTATATCTGTTTTGCATGCAATGTATTGATCTCATTTAAAATTATAATATGATAAAATTAAATTATGGTAACAAGTTAAAAACATTATCAAATAAAATTATAATGTAAATATGAATTAAATTACTACCAATATCTATTTAGGTGCAATCGGAATTTTGCAATTTACAGAATCCCGACTTATTTAATACAATATAATACGTAGTCCTCTTTGATATTCTGTTGTTATATATTGTATATTAAAATATTTTTATCTACAAAAAGTGATGTGAGTAGCCCTACATCATGTCCACAGGATTACCGTTAAACCTTAATCGGAAAAATTTACTTACGCAGATTTTTCATGGTAACTTTGTTTGCCTATTGTATCTAAGACTTCACGAGAAGCCCAAACAATTAAAATTTTTTACTTTTGAGATTTCTGTCACATATACATTCCGGAGAATGCAAGATTCCTCCATAGCATTTATCAAAATGACTCGTCAATATTTCAGATTATTTCAATTCAAAAGAAAACACAATGTAGTTCTTTCGATTATTTCTTTTAAGATTGTGTGCCAAGCGTGTACTTTAGCTCGATTCTGTCAGAATAATTAATGCAGTTTTCACACATTAAATGGTAATAATATATCTAGGAAACGCGAGAATTTCATTCTACTGATGATAGCCTTATCGTGAAGTGAAATTCTCCAAAAAAATAAGAAAGAAAGATAGAAAGAAGGGTAAAGACATTCGATACGCAATTAGAAAGTCACTAATTAGATGATATTTATAATTAAATAATCAATTATCACACACGTATACACACACATAGAAAAATAAATTGCGTTCTGCTTCTTTCTTCTTCCATTTTACTGTACTCGAGATGTATTTTTTAAAACGCATTTTTTCTGTTGAACATAATACTTGAAATTTTTGCGGATATTTAAGTATATTTTAGATACTTCAACGGACAAAATGATATCATATGCCAAGGGTTCCAAACTATCTCTGAAGAAATGTCTCATTACGTATTTTCTTATTGGCCTAGTGAGAAACGTTTTTGCTAATAATGACGCAATAATTATGGAAAGTTTTGTCTTTTGTTTTGTCGGAGAATATCTTATTCTTAAGGTTAGTAAATATTCAGAAATCATTTAATGATTGATTTCTCCATTAAAATGTAACATGATAATTAATTATAGTATTCTTCGAGACAATATCTAATTGAAGATGTTTACAATATACATATTTTTAGAAAAATATATATGTATATACATGTATAAATATATAAGTAATATATACCTAATATATACCAAAGTAACACACAGTAGCAGAAGTCGCCACGTCTCATCTACCGCATGACATGTGATGAATTTTTTTAAATGGTAATTAAAAATGTTATGTGGTAGTTCAAAAAATGGTAGAGGGATTTGCTGTTTAGTTAGATTTAATCTACCTACACATGTAGTTTTACGAGATAGTTTCGGACGAAATCGAGATATTAAACGGACGATTTCGAGATATTATATGGACGAAAAATTGCTGAATGTGTCCGTACTAATCTCTGAGATTTCGCCGTTTTCATCATAAACCAATTTCCGTTTTTGCTTAATCTATTGCTCTGAGAGCAATACATATTTTCCATCATGGCAATTTAATTTTAACAATTAATTATCTTATTTCAGAGAAAAATAACTACTTCCAATGGATGCACGGAGCTCCTAGTTTCTCAATAAATTTTATTTTAAATCGTTACAATAACTACAAATTAAGATATCACCTGCATTTAGTAGACAAAGTTACTCATAGATTTAAGGTGACATTCAAGATTAACATTTTCTAGACTCTAATTATATATAATATGCTTAAATTATATATAATACGAGCTGGAATACGTGTCTCTTTTTGCTTTGTTACCCTAATATATGTTCTAACTCACAAGTAAACCTATTTAAAAGTTACACTTTTGAGTAGGTTTACATGTTAAGAAAGGCACGTAACTTCAAATAACTTATTTTACAAATTTGCAGTGAAATTAAGCAATTCTGCGCACGTATACTCAATTCCACTGATGCTATACCATTTATTAAATTGATGATCACTAGGAAATTTCGAACAGCCGTGTTCATTTTTAGCTCATCGTTTTCCTTGAATGTTGATTCATTCAGCAAGCGGGAACGTGTTCAAAACGGATTTGACATTTTGAGAGCTTAACGTTCTGTACTTATGTGTTTCTATCAGAAATTTGTCCGCTTACATATAAAAGCGAATACCTTGAAACATAATCGCGTGTAAAAATTAAAAAGTTAGACGCATTCTATATGTGTGTATAAATTTATTATAATTATCTATATTAACTTCTCTTATTACGAATTTCATATATTAACTTACCTTCTTTAACATTTTTAGTTTTCTTCTACTGATTGCGCGTTACATGTTCACGGCTGGTCAAATCTTTCTAGAAATTACTAATTTGCTGAATGTATACCAATGGAACTGAGCGTGCAGAAGTGCTTGGAGCGTGCGAAGGCGCCTTTGTTTGCCTGTACTTGTAAAAAAGTTTCTACCGAGAAACTAATCGATTAAATTTTTTCGCTTTTGAGACTTCTACCACATGTGCACCTTGAATAATACAATTCTACGTAGCATTTATAAAAATGACTCGCTATTATGTGCTATTTCTCCCGATCAATGGTAGACACAATATATTCTCCTCGATTATTTCTTCAAGAATTATAGTCACGCATATGACTCATTTCTGTTAGAATAACTACTGTAGTCGTCGTATTTTAAATGGTTTTCAGTACACGTAAAAGATGCGAGAATCACTTATAGTTTATACATGATATAACTTCGTCGTGGAACAATCTTCTTGGAAAATAGAAAAGAGAAAAGAGAAAAGACTGATATTCGCTTGAGGAGACGTATCATTAATTGTTTTATGCGCGTTCAGAACGATTATTCAACTCATCGGTAGAATTATAGGATGTCTATAAGATGGAAAATAACTTCAACTGTTATATTACCATACGTATAATGATGATTGATCGCTGCTCACCAGAGTGGGGAGAAAGCACATGGGGGTGCACTTGGAGGATTGGACGATGCTCTTTCAGTTTACCATAAACGCGAGTGCTGTACGTGTACCGATTTTTGTATCCTCGTGTATTTCCTCGTGGGTGGTTGAAAGATGTTACTGACGAGCACGATCAGTCCACCGTTGAAGTTCGGTCTTCAAATCCTCGGCGTGTGGCCGGACACGCCATACAATACTTTTCACCGGTTGATTTATATGTCAGCTATGTTGGCCGTCTATTATTTTCAGCAATCGTACCTATTTACGAACTGGAAATTCAGCGAACTGCAGAATCTCGTAGGCCCGTTAACAATGCTAATATATTACTTGATGACCATCCTTAAGGTGACGACACTTTGGATGAATCGTCGGTAAGATGCTGTATTAGACAACATTGAGTTTCCTTGTTTTGTTTTCGCGTACGTGAAAGGAGACTGACGTTGAGTTCCTTAATGTATTCTGTCTATTAAACAAAAAAATGTCTTAATAATTACAACGTTTAGATAATAGTTGACGCGGCGATGTATAATTTCGTGTACAGCCATCGGTGATGCCACAAACGTATGAAGTATCCCTATCCGAATAAAGTGACATTTTGCAGCATAATTCACGAACTACTGTCTGCTATCGATACTGATTGGCGCGAGGGCGTTAAGATCGATCAGCATTTGCAGTTGATGAGGGCGAAAGCTAGCAACTCGCAGTTTTGTACAATTGCTTTGTTGGGTTTCGACTTGAGCGCCTCCATAATCTATTTGGGAGGTGAAAATGCGGCAGCTATCATGCAACCGGTTGATAACTATACTTCACGACCATTTCCTCTGAAAGTGCTATTTCCTTTTGAGGCTCAGCAGTCGCCGTTATATGAGTTGCTCGTCGTCTTCTTATTTATGCATGGGATGTTAACGGTGTTTACGGTGGATATTATAAACGGATTAATCTCTGCTCTGGTATGTCTTCCGAAATTCTATTACGTGTCGACTTACAATTTTCAAATATCGACGAAGGAAAACTAATAATTTTTTTGCAATTTAATGTAGATTACAATAAATGCTTTTATAAAATTTGACAAGGAGTGAATCTTGATTAGAAAGTATGAAAATTTACAGATTTCCTGTCTGAATATTCTTATAATTGAATAATTGATTATGATACATATATACACATATATGAAGGAATATTACGCACAGATTTTTGCTTCTATTTTCTTTAAATTAAAGTATATAACAACACGTATTTTCTTTCTTAAGCATAATATTTGAAATGTTCGCGAATACTTAAGCATATTTTAGATATGTCATATAAGCGGACAAATCGATATCATACAACATGAGTTGAAAACTACGTCTGTGAAAGTATCCTACAACAGATCTACTGAGTTTGCAATAAAAATGCTGATCATAAAGCACAATAAAGTCATCGAATTTGCCAATAATATCGATAAGCTATATTCCTTCATAACCTTTTTGCAAGTTTTTCCTAATGCATCAGTTATGTGTTTGATGGCAGTCATAGTAAGTATTGCAAAGTCCTTTCGAGTAAGCGCTAATCGAAATCAATATATTCAATTTTTTTGATTGTTTAATATAACAGTCTATTTATGGTGACGATGACGTCGGCCTGGCGCAAGGCGGAACAGGTTACGCCACTCTAACGGCGGAAATATTTATGTATTGTTTTATTGGAGAATATCTTGGTATTAAGGTTAGTGAGATTAATTAGTAAAGTTAGTTAGGGAATTTAAAAATTACTAATTATAAAATCAACAGTTGTGTCACGTAACTTAATTTGATGTGTAATTATTAACTACAACATATTACAGTATACTACAGTCTTTGAATCATTTGGGACAATTTCCGGATCAAAACCGTTATAAGCTATTCATATATTTTAAATTATAGTTCGACTTCCTTTTAACCTGACATTCTCAGTTAATGATTTCTTAGATTTTATATTTCGTGTCCAACAGGCACTATAATATATTCGTGATATATGGTTACTTTCTATCGTATTATAAATATTCAATTGTGTTTATGAATTTTCTCCAATAAAAAAATTGGATTAATAATTTTTTTATGAGAAGAAGTTATCTTTTTACTTCAATTTTTATTTATTGCTTTGCCTCTAGAGTAGATCACTTGCTGATGCGGGATACGACTCTTTATGGTACAATATGTCACCTAGATACAGTAAGAATATATTACTCTTAATAATGAGATCTCAGAAACAATTGACCATCACGGCCGGAGGATTAATGAATTTATCATTAGAAGTCTTCACAAGTGTAAGCTTATTATCTTTTTCTAATGTATATTTTCCATAGTTTATACTCTATCTCATTAATGTTACAAATGTTACAAAATTTCATTTTATATATAAATAGACACTTTTCCCAATAATAGCATGCTTTATCTTATTTTAGATCATGAAAGCTTCGGTATCGTATATATCTGTTTTGCACGCGATGTATTGATCTCACTTAAAATTATAATATCATAAGACTAATTTATATGGTAATAATTTGAAAACGTTATCAAATGAAATTATACTATAATTATAAATTAATTCTCGTTTAATATCTATTTAAGTTGTAATCGGGGATTTTGCAGGTTACAAAATCCCGGCTTATTAAATACGATATAATATATAACTTTCTTTGTTATTTTATTGTTATGTCGCACATTAAAACATTTTCACCTACAAAAGATGATGTGGATAGCCTTACACCATGTACAAAGAATTTGGTACAAAGAGGTTCCACGGTTTTGTTTGTCTACAGCTGCAATTAGCGATCTACGAGGAATTCGATTAATTACAGTATTTTTAGTTTTGATATTCCTGTCACATGTATATTCCGGGTAATACGGGGTTACTCCGTAGCGTTTCGCAGAATAACTCACTATTATTCGCTATTATTTCAGTTCAAGGGAAGGCACAATCCCCTCGAATAATTTTTTTAAGATTCGTGCCAAGTGTGTAGTTCAGCTCGGTTCTGTTAGAATAATTAATACAATTCTTTTACGTTAACTGTGAGTATCGTGCCGTCTATATGAGCATCCAGGGATCTATATTAACAATTAATTAAGTTTTTCTGATCATTTAATGAAACAGTCTCATAATGAAGCATGTGTTGGTCTGTTCAAAGCCTTACTTGGTTACGCCGGCATAACGGTTGAAATTTTTACATTTTGTTTTGTTGGAGAATACCTAGGCCTTAAGGTTAGTGATTTTTTAAAAACCATTAAGTTTAAATAATTTTTTAAATAATCTTATTTGATAGTTATGATTAACCATAAGTAGTTTAGTCATTCGGAACAATTTCCTTGCAAAAACAATTATAGAAAATGTGCATTTTAAAATACATTTATTTATCTTTTGAGTTTACCTATAGAAGTTTTATATTATCTATATGTTTTATTCAGGGGATGCTATAATAATCATGGAAGAATCCGTGATGTACATATTCTTATATCTTTATTTTAAATATTTTGTGATACTACATAGGCTATAGACTGTCCCTAATTTTTCTATTAAAGAAAGATGTCATTTTGTTTAAATATTTATTTGTTACATTGTTTTCAGTGTAAATTACTTGCCGAAGCAGGATACGATTCTTCGTTTTACAATATGTCGTCCAGTCATAGTAAGAATATATTATTCATAATCATGAGACTTCAGAAGCAATTGAATGTTACAACCGGAAGCATGGTAGATTTATTGTTGGAAACCTTTACGAGTGTAAGTTTGTGGTTTTTCTTGATATACAACTGTTAGATTTTTTATACTTTCTCTAATTTATGCCAACGTTTGCTACGTAATATGCGCGCATTTTACGAATAATAATTCATTTTATCTTGCTTTAGATCATGAAAGTATCGGCATTGTATATGTCTGTTTTGAAGACGATGTATTGATACGTAAAATTAGTATTAATACTACGTAAAATAGTAAGGTAATAACACAAAATAGTGTAATTAGTTTGACAATTTCGAAATTGTAATCAATGACAATATATAATAAGTTATGTTGAATCTTAATATTGATTCAAATTGCAAACGTGGATTTGAGAGTACAAGACTTATATAGCAATAAATATCTCATGCTGTTGCTACATTGTTATATTTTTTGTGCATTGTAATCTCTAAAAAATTTACTTTAATAATGTTCGTAAAAAAGTTATTACAAAAAATATAATTATCTCAAAAACTTTAATAAATAGTATTGAGAAGAAATACAACAAAACTTTGCAAAAATTTAAGACAATATTATAAAAAAGTCGTGAAATCACTAAAAAGACCAAGTATACAGGACATCTTACGCGCGCGCGCTTCCACTATATTATTTTTTAACTACGGAATTAACTAATTGACCTATTAAGGGTTATAAATTGTCGAGAATTCGAAAACAGTAATAATATTCAACAAACATTTGTAATGAATGTACAAAGATTATAATTTATTTTCTCTAAAAAGCAACAATCGCACATCAAAGCCGAAATAATGAATAACTCAAAATGTTATGTGATTGTTCGAAAAATGGTAGAGAGATTTGTGTTTAGTTAGACTTAATCTACCTACGTATGTGGTCTTGCGTGCCTTGCGTCCTGCACATATAGTATATAGTTGATTCAGATTGTTTTAGTTTCTGATAATCTTCCCAGATATGAGCTTGGTACAACGTGAAATCCTGAAACAATAAAGAGAATTAATCGTACTTACGTTACGAGTGTAAAAGAGGTACGATGTTTTCTCCTTTATTTATTTTTTTCAAAGATCCCATAAGTACGATCGTTCAAGCGAGTTTGCGTTTGTTAATTTTCATGATATGTAAAGAACATAAAGGTAGTTTTTTTCTTGTTTTGGCGAAAAAGTTTGTTTAAGCAAGTTCGTTTTCACCGTCGATAGATCGAAGCGGGCAGAACGACTATTATCGTTCATCGCGTAATATAAACTTCATTCTGAGGCACGATTGGATACATTGTTTTAATACAATTACGGAACTGTTAGGCGGATAATAAGTGCTGCGTCGGATTACTGCTCGATTACGCAGTATATAATTGCGATTGATCGATTGAGGGGAGATGCGTGATGTTGAGCTTTCTGGAGGATCGCGAGTTATTTTCATAGTATTACACGGTATTATACGGTATACATAGTATTATACGGTTATAACAATTGCTGAATGTACCGGTACTGACCTCTGAGATTTCAGGGTTCTTGTCGTAGATCAATTTCCGTTTTTGTCTAAACAGAGAGCAATATTTTCCCTCATGGCGATTTAATTTTATTAATTGATTAATTTATTTCAGAAAGAAACAATACTACTTTCATCGAATGAGAGAGAAGTCGCATTTTCTCAATAAACTTTATTTTAAATTGTTATGATGTTTAACAGTAAAGATACAACTTGAATTTAGCAAGGAAAGTAGCTCTAAGCTGATAGATTTAAGATGATAGATCTAAAATGGCATTCAAGATTAACATTTTCTACACATGCTCAAATTATATTTAATATGGAATACATGTTTTTTTACCTTAACATATATACTAAAATGTTCTTACGCACAAGTAATCTACTCAAAAGTTATACTCGGATTTATTTCTAATTTGGCACAAATGTAGATGTACAAAAAATATTTAAGTCATATTTTTTCATTTTGGCCCACTTTGAGTTTCATAGGCAGTTTATAGGTTTTTAATGTTTTCACTCCAATCATTAACAAGTGTAACAGAAATGCATAAGAAATAAAATTGAATACAAGATATGGTTAAATAATTTTAACAAAATCAGCATAGATGAGACACGAACCATTCTAAACTTCTTTAGCCAAGATTCCAACCGAAATATTTCAAATTTGTGTTAAATTAGTAAAGAATGGCTCGAATCTCGGCAAAACCGAGAAATTAGTTGTGTAAATAATTTTTTTAACTTTTTACATATTTTGTTTAAACATTTTATTATTTATACAAATAAGTTTGACTTCATATGCATAATCAGAAAACCAAAAATGCCCATGGCCTTTGGGCCAAAATGAAAAAATATGACCTAAATATTTGTTGTACTTCTGCATTTGTGCCAAATTCGAAAGAAATCGGAGTGTATCTTTTGGGTATGTACTTGTCAGGAAAGACACGTAACTTCAAGCAAATTATTCTACAAATTTACAATGAAATTTACAAGAATTTCTGCGTACGTATGCTCAATTCCATTGATGCTATACCATTTATAAATCGATAGTCACTAAAAATTTCGACCAGCCATGCCCGTTCCTAGCTCATCGTTTTTCATGATTGTTGATTTATTCAGCAAGAGGGAATGTGTCCAAAACGGAAGTGACGTTTCAACAGCTTGACGTTTCCTACTTATGTGTTTTTATCAGAAAATTATCCGCCTCACATGCAAATAGTGAATATAATAAAGGAAGTCACTTTGTGTGTATGTATAAATTTATTATAATTTTCTATATTAACTTCTTTTATTTCTAATTTTATATATTAACTTACTTTTCTTAACATTCTTACTATTCTTCTGCTGATTGCGCACTATACGAGCACGTCTAATCAAAACTTTCTAGTGACTATCGATCTGCTAAATGATATATCATCAGTGGAACTGAGTGTACAGAATTGCCAATGCATCTTTGTTTGTCTATACTTGTAACAAAGTTTTTACCAGGAAACTAATCGGTTAAATTTTTTTGCTTTCAAGACTTTTTCTATGTGTGCATCTCGGAAAATACAATTCTACGTAACATTTATAAAAGTGACTCGCTATTATACGCTATTTCTCCCCATCAAAGTTAGATACAATATGTCCTTCGCGATTATTTCTTTAAGAATCACAGTCACGCATGTAATTTAGTTCTGTTCTGTTAGAATAACTAATGCAGCCGTCGTAATTTAATGGTTTTCAGTACACGCAAAAAATGTGAGAATCACTTGTACTTTATACATGGTATAGCTTTGTCATTGAGCAATCTTCTTGAAAAAGAGAAAAGACTGATATTCGTTTGAGGAGACGTACCTTTAATTTTTTTTCGATGCGCGTTTAGAAGATATTATTCAACGCACCGGCGAGATTATAGGATATCTGTATGGAAAACGATTGAAACTGTTAAATTATGCTATATAATGATGATTGATCGTTGGTCAGCGGAGTGGGGACAAAGAATACGGGGATGCACTCGGAGGATTGGACGATGCTCTTTCAGTTTACCATATACGCGAGTGCTGTGTATGCTTCTACTTTTATTTCCTCGTGAATTCTTGGATCGTTGAAAAATGATACTCATGAGCACGATCAATCCGCCGCTGAAAATCGGCCTTCAAATCCTTGGCATATGGCCGGACATGCCATACACTACCTTTTACCGGCTGATTTACATGTTATCTATACTGACTATCCATTACTTTCAGTATTTATACCTATTTGCGAGATGCAAATTTAGCGATCTGCAGAATCTCGTGCGCCCTTTATCAGTGACATTATATTACATTCTGACGATCCTTAAGTTGATTATACTATGGATGAATTGTAGGTAAGGTATTGTATTAGATAATGTAACATTGAGTTTATTCGATTCGCGTGCGTGGAAGGAGACTGAGTTTCTCAATGTGTACTATTCATTAAAGCAAAAAGTGCTTTAATAATTGCAACGTTTAAATAAAATTGACGCGGCGGTATATAATTTCGTGTAGAGGTGATGCCACCAATGCACGAAAGTATCCTTATCCGATTAAAGTGATATATTGCAGCGTAATTCGCGAAATACTGGTTGCTATGGACACTGATTGGCGCGAGTGTGTTAACATCGATCAGCATTTGCACTTGATGAGGACGAAAGCTAGCAACTCGCAGTTTTGTACAATCTTTTTATTGAGTTTCAACTTGCTCGCCGCGGCAATTTACTTCGGGGGTGATAATATAATAGCTATCATACATCTATTGAAGGGCGACAATTATACTTCACGACCATTTCCTATAAAGGTGCTACTTCCTTCTGAGGCTGAGCAATCGCCGTTCTACGAGTTGCTCGTCGTCTTATTATTTATGCACGCCATGTTAACGGTGTATACGGTTGCTATTATAAACGCGCTTATCTCTGCTCTGGTATGTATTCCGAAGTTCTGTTACATGTCGAATCACAAATTTAAAATATCGACGAAGATAAACTAATACATGTCTTGCAATTTAATGTAGTTTGTGAGAAATGCCCTTACACAAAATCTGACAAGGTGTGAATCTTGATTAGAAAGTATAAAAACTTACAGATTTCCTGTCTGAAAATTTTTATAATTGAATAATTAATTGTACGCACACACACATGAAACAATATTACGTACAGATTTTTTCTTCCATTTTCTTTAAATTGAAATATATGACAAAACGTATTTTCTTCTTTAAACATAATACTTGAAATCTTTGCAGATACTTAAGTATATTTTAGGTATTTCATGTAAGTGGACAAATCGATATCATACATCAAGAGTTGAAAGCTATCTCTATGAAAGTGTCATACAACGAATCAGCTGAATCTACATTAGGAATGCTGATCACAAAGCACAATAAAATCATCGAATTTGCTGAAAATATTGATAAGCTATTTGCTTTCATAGCTATGTTGCAAGTTTTTTCTAATACATCAATTATCTGCTTGTTAGCACTCATTGCTATCAAAGTAAGTATCATAGAATCCTTTCGAATGGGTGTAATCGAAATTGTAATTTATTCAATTGTTCTAATTTATTTTATTTAATATAACAGTCTATTAATAGTGAAAATGAGGTCGGCCTGTTGCAAAGCTTATTAGCTTATGCCGGCATAACGGGGGAAATTTTTATATATTGTTTTATTGGAGAATACCTTGGTCTTAAGGTTAGTGAACATCACTAATTATACAATCAACAATTGTTTCACACAACTTAATTTGATATGTAATTATTAACTATAGTCTTCGAATCGTTTGGGACAATTTCTGATTCAAAACAATTACAAGTTGTGTGCATATATTTTAAATTTTATTCTGACGTTAGTTTTAACCTGATATTGTCAATAAACGATTTATTATATTTTATATTTCGTGTCGAAGAGGCATCACAATATACCCGCGATATATATATATATATAGTTATTTTATATCTATTATAAATATTTTATTATTTTCTATTATTCAGATTATGGACTTTCTTTAGTAAAAATTGGGAACACAGATTTTTGTATCAGAGAAAGATATCTTTTTACATAAATTTTTGTTTATTACTTTGCTCCCAGAGTAGGGCACTCGCTGATGCAGGGTACAACTCTTTATGGTACAATATGTCGCCTCGCCACAGTAAAAATATAATATTCATAATAATGAGATCTCAGAAACAATTGACTATCACGGTCGGAGGATTAATGAATTTATCATTAGATCTCTTCACGAGTGTAAGCTTATTGACTTTTTCTAATGTATATTTCCGATAGTTTATTCATTATTGTCAACGTATGTCACAAAATATTATTTTACACACACACACACACACACACACACACACACACACATATATATAGACACTTTTATGAATAATAGTATGCTTTATTTCATTTTAGATCATGAAAGCTTCGGCATCATATACATCTATTTTGCATGCGATGTATTGATCTTATTTAAAATTATAATATAATAAGATTAATGTATGTGGTAACAATTTAAAAACATTATCAAATGAAGTTATACTGTAATTATAAATTAAATTTCTACTCTAATATCCACCCAGATGCAATCGGGGATTTTGCAGGTTACAGAATCCCGGCTTATTTCATACGTAGCAATATATAGCTCTTTTTGTTATTTTGTTGTTATATATCCTATATTAAAATATTTTCACCTACAAAAGGTGATGTGAGTAACATCATGTCCAAAAAATTTGCCGTTAAACGTTAATCGGAAAAATTTGCGTATGTAGAGTTTCTATGATATCTTGGATTACCTAAGGCTTTACGAGAAGTCCAATCTATTAAAATTTTTTCACTTTTGAGATTTCTGCCATACATGCATTCCGGAGAATGCAAAATTAATGAAGAAATTAATCACAAATGATTTCTGAATATTTACTAACTTTAAAACCAAGATATTCTCCGGCATAACAAAAGATAAAAATTTCCATGATTATTGCGCCATAAGCAAAAACAGTTCTCACTAGGCCGACGCCAGCTTTCGTTAAACAATTGGTAAAACGGAATGAATTACAATATCTATCACCATGCATTTGAAACAGGTATTGCGACATTCACCGTTATAATGAAGAGTATTATACTGCAGATAACTAAAGTATCCCAATAAATTTGCATTTATCCAAATGACTCGCCATTATTTGAGATTATTTCAATCTAAAGGAAGACACAATGTATTCCTCTCGATTATTAAGATTTGTGCCATGCGTGTAGCTCAGCTCGATTCTGTTAGAATAATTAATACAGTTCACATACGTTAAATGGTCTTCAGTACATCTAGAAAACGCGAGAGTTCTATTCTACGGATAATAGAAACTTGTCGTGAAACAGAATCCTCAAAAAAATGAAGAAAAAGAGAGAGACAGAAGGAAAGACATCCGATGCGCAATTAAAAGGTCACCGATCAGATAATTTTTATAATTAAATAATTAAATAATTGAATAATTTTTATAATTAAATTATCACACACACATACGCATGAAAGGATATATTACATTTAGCTTTTTTCTTCTTCCGTTTGCTTTTAATAGAGACATAAAAAAGAAAAATTTCTTAAAACGCATTTTCTTCTTTGAACATAATACTTGGAATCTTTACAGATATTTAAGTATATTTTAGGTGCTTTACGAAAGTGGACAAATTGATATCATATACCAAGAGTTCCAAACAATCTCTGAAGAAATGCCTTATTATGGATTTTTTGAGGAGACAATAGGAATGCTTATCGGGAAGTATAAGAGAGTCATCGCATTTTCCATTTCTATGAGCTTGTTTCTTTCATGGCTTTGATGCAGATTTATTGGGATACCTTAGTCCTGCCACTACCGTATTATCTCTTAAGGACGGATTCCTGAGGTAATTTAAAGAAAAAAATCCTAATATAAAAATGTCGAGGCTGTAATACTTTTCAAATTATAAACAATTAAAGTTGACCAATTATATTGGCTAAAGTACGCGCGCTCAGGTACGGTACAACACACAATGGTACAGGTGCATGCACATAAGTGAGAATTTGCATAAGATATGAAATTAGTTGTAAATCCCTGAAAGAAAGGTTAAATGTGTGACAACTTACTCATTCTCATAAATGTATTGTATGATATTTTATTCATAACTTTTGACGAAATTGTTATTCCGAAATAATAGAACGCTCCTTGATAGAGTTAACTAATAGTGAAATATTAATGGCACATAAGGAGCTAGCACGGATGTCGAAATTGTTATTATTTGTGATATGTTTATTTAAATGATAGAAAAGACAGATTATTATTATATACGTTGTTGTATGTATGGAACTTCCGTATCAATATTTGGAAAAGGGACGACATGCACCTGTACCATTGTGTGTTATCGTACGCGCATATTTTAGCCAGTATAATTAACTTTAATCCTTTATAATTTAAAAAGTATTATAGCCTCGCTATTTTTTCACATTAAGATTTTTTCATTCAAATTATCTCAGGAATCTCTTGATATATGATATCAATTTGTCCACTTTTATAAAGTACTTAAAATATATTTAAATATCTGTAAAGATTTCAGAATTTCCCTTAAAAGATAATGCGGTAGTGGCGGGACACCCTGTATACCTAATATATACCTAAGAGCTCATAGATCTAAAGTGGCATTCAAGATTAATGTTTTCTAGACTCAAATTATATTTAATATGATAAAATTATATTTAATATGAGCTCAAATTTATATCCTTTTGTTTCGTTTTACTAATATATATACTAAAATATTCTTACTCAGGAAAGGTACGTTACTTCAGTTTGTTAACTTATCCTACAAATTTACTATAAAATTTTTAGAGAATTGTGTGCATGTATACTCAGTTCCACTGATGTGTGTGCTATACCATTTACTAAATCAATAGTTACTAGAAAATTTCGACTAGCTGTGCCCGTTTTTAGCTCATCGTCTTTCATGAATGTTGATTCATTCAATAAACGAGAATGTGTTCAAAACAGAATTGATATTTTGAAAGCTTGAAGTTCCGTACATATATGTTTTAATCATTATCCGCTTATGTATAGTAACGAATACTTTGAAAGATAATCGCATGCAAAAATTAAAATGTTAGACACATTCTGTATGTATGTATAAATTTATTATAATATTCTATATTAACTTCTCTTATTACGAATTTTATATATTAATTTACTTTCCTTAACATTCTTAGTTTTCTTCTTCTGTTACATGGCTACGGCTGGTCAAAACTTTCTAGAGACTATTGATTTGCTGAATGGTATAACACAAATGGAACTGAGTGTGCAGAGGTTCGAAGGCACCTTTGTTCGTCTGTACTTGTAAAAAACTTTCTACCGAGAAACTAATCGATTACAATTTTTTGCTTTTGAGACTTCTGCCACATGTGCACCTCAGATAATACAATTCTACGTAGCATTTATAAAAATGACTCTATTACGGCTATTATGCGCCATTTCTCCCGATCAATGGTAGACACAATGCACTCTCCTCGATTATTTCTTTAAGAATCATAGTCACGCATGTAATTCAGTTCCGTTCTATTAGAATAACTAATGCAGCCGTCGTACTTTTAATGTTTTAAATCTTCGATACATGCAAGAAATACAAGAACCACTTATACCTTATACATGGCTTTGTCATGGAGCAATCTTCTTGAAAAAGAGAAAAGACTGATATTCATTTGAGGAAACGTATCTTCAATTTTTTTTTTGAAGTGCATTTACAGCGTATTATCCAACGCATCGAATTATTGGAGGACTATGTGGAAAATAATTACAACTATTATACTACCCTACGTATAATGATGATTGATCGCTATCCACCAGAGTGGGGACAAAGCATATGGGGGTGCACTTGAAGGATCGGACGATGCTCTTTCAGTTTACCATACACGCGAGTGCTGTGCATACTCCGATTTTTGTTTCCTCGTGTACTCCCTCGTGGGTGGTTGAAAGATGTTATACACGAGCACGATCACTCCTCCGTTGAAGATCGGTCTTCAAATCCTCGGCGTGTGGCCGGACACGCCATACAATACTTTTCACCGGTTGATTTATATGTCAATTATGCTGGCCGTCTATTATTTTCAGCAACTGTACATAATTACGAACTGGAAAGTCAGTGAATTCGAGGATCTTGTAGGCTACTTAACAATGGTATTATATTACCTGTTGACTATCCTTAAGCTGACGATACTTTGGATGAATCGTCGGTAAGATACTGTTAGATTATGCAACATTGAAGTTCTTCGATTTGTTTTCGCGTGTGTGAAAAGAAACGTTGAGTCCCTCAATATACTAAAGCATTAAAGCTAAAGCAAAAAGTGCCTTAATAATTACAACGTTTAGATAATAGTTGACGCGGCGGTCTATAATTTCGCGTAGAGCCACCATCGGTGATGCCACAAACACATGAAGTATCCCTATCCGATTAAAGTGACATTTTGCAGCATAATTCGCGAACTATTGTCTGCTATCGACACTGATTGGCGCGAGGGCGTTAAGATCGATCAGCATTTGCAGTTGATGAGGGCGAAAGCTACCAACTCGCAGTTTTGTACAATCGCTTTGTTGGGTGTCGACTTGGGTGCCTCGATAATCTACTTTGGGGGTGAAAATGTGGCAGCTATCATGCATTCGATGGACGATGACAATTATACTTCACGACCATTTCCATTGAAGGTGTCACTTCCTTCTGGGGCCCAGCAATCGCCATTATACGAGTTGCTGGTCGTTTTTTTATTTATACACGCGATGTTAACGGTATATACGGTTGATATTATAACCGCATTTATCTCTGCTCTGGTATGTCTTTCGAAATCCTATTATGTGTGACTTACAATTTTCGATAAAGAAAAACTAATACTTGTCTTGCAATTTAATGTAGTTCGTGATAAATGCTTTTACAAAATCTAATAAATCGTGAATCTTGATTAGAAAGTATGAAAATTTACAGATTTCTTGTCTAAATATTTTTATAATTGAATAATTAATTATCGCACACATACCCATATGAAGAAATATTACGCACAGATTTTTGCTTCTATTTACTTTAAATTAAAGTTTACTACAAAACATATTTTCTTTTTTAAACATAATACATGAAATCTTTGCAAATACTGAAGTATATTTTAGATATGTCATGTAAGCGGACAATTCGATATCATATATTATGAGTTGAGAACTTTGTCTGTGAAAATATCCTACAACGAATCTAAATTTACAATAAAAATGCTGATCGAAAAGCATAATAAAGTCATCGAATTTGCCAATAATGTCGAAAAGCTATATTCCGTCATAATTTTTATGCAAGTTTTTCCTAATACAACAGTTATGTGCTTGATGGCAGTCGTAGTAAGTATCGCAGAATCTTTTTGAGTAAACGGTGATCCAAATCATAATATATTCAGTTTTTCTAATTGTTTAATATAACAGTCTCTTTATGGTGACGATGACGTCGGACTGGCGCAAGGCTCAATAGGTTACATCACCCTGGCGGCGGAAATATTTGTATATTGTTTTATGGGAGAACATCTTGGTATTAAGGTTAGTGAAATTAGTTCGTGAAGTTAGTTAGTGAATTTAGAAACTACTAACTATAAAATCGACAATTGTGTCACATAACTTAATTTGATATGTAATTATTAACTACAGCCTTTTGAATTGTTTGAGACAATTTCCGATCCAAAATGGTTACAAGCTATTCATATATTTTAAATTATATTTTGACTTTACTTTTAATCTGATGTAATTCTTATATTTTATATTTCGTGTCTAACACGCGTTACAGTATATCCGTGATATATAGTTACTTTCTATCGTATTATAAATATTAAATTATGGATTTTATGGATTTATGGTTTATGAATTTTCTTTAGTAAAAAATAGGATTACTAATTTTTTTTCTAGACAAAGGTAACTTTTTACTTCAATTCTTGTTTGTTGCTTTGCTTCCAGAGTAGGTCACTTGCTGATGCGGGGTACGACTGTTTATGGTATAATATGTCACCTAGCTACAGTAGAAATATATTACTGATAATATTGAGATCTCAGAAACAATTGACTATGACTGCCGGAGGAGTAATAAATTTATCATTAGAAGCCTTCACAAGTGTAAGCTTATTGACTTTTTCTAATGTATATTTCCGATAGTTTACATTCTTCCTCATTAATGTCAGCGAATGTTACAAAATATTATTTTATATATATAGACACTATTGCGTGTAATAGTATGCTTTATTTTATTTTAGATCATGAAAGCTTCGGCATCGTATATATCTGTTTTGCATGCGACAATTTAAAAATATTATCAAATGAAATTATACAATAATTATAAATTAATTCTTGATTAATAGATCTGTTCAAATTGTAATCGGAGATTTTGCAGGTTTACAAAATCCCGGCCTATTTAATACGATAGAATATATATCTCTCTTTGTTATTTTATTGTTATGTGTCGCACATTAAAACATTTTCACCTACAAAAGATGATGTAGATAGCCCTATATCATGTCCAAAGAATTTATCGTTAAATCCTAATCAGAAAGATTTGCATATGTTATAGCTTTAAGGTATCTTGTTTGTCTACAGCTGTAACTAGGGATCTACGAGGAATTCGATTGATTACAATTTTTTTACTTTTGAGATTCCTGTCACATGTATATTTCGGGTAATGCGGGATTACTTAGAGTTTCTCAAAATGACTCACCATTATTCGCTATTATTTCAGTTCAAGGGAAGATACAATCTCCTCGAATAATTCTTTTAAGATTTGTGCCGAGTATGTAATTCAGCTCGGTTCTGTCAGAATAATTAATACAATTCTTGTACGTTAACTGAGAATATCGCGGCGTCCACATGAGTGTCCAGTGATCTACATCAATAATTAATTAAGTTTTTTGATCATTTAATGAAACAATTTCATAATGAAGCTGGTGTTGGTCTGTTCAAAGCCTTACTTGGTTACGTCGGCATAACAGTCGAAACTTTTACATTTTGTTTTGTTGGAGAATACCTAGGCATTAAGGTTAGTGGTTATTTAGTATAAATAACTTTTTCATACTCTCTAATTTAATAATTAATTTGTAATTATAGCAATATGTTTGGGACAATATCTGTTCAAAAATGATTACAGTACACACATTTTAGCATACTTGTATTTTAATATATATATTGATATTAGATTGGACTTTCGCCTATGCAAATTTTTCTTTATTTTTATCTTGCGTTCAAAAGAAGGGGCACACACACACAGAATTCACCCAACATATATACATACATCTACTATACTATACCATACTATAGTAATCATGCAAGGATCCGTGTATTATATATAATATATTATTGTCGTCAGTATTATAAATATTTCATGGATTTATAGACGAATAAATGCAAATATAGACGTATTAATATAGGCTGACAATTTAGAAGTTGTGATCAATGAAATTAGATAATAATTGTATATTGAATCCTGAAACCGATTCATAGTGTCAGGTATTAGATGGTTACAGAATTTAAACTTATAATTAATAAAATGCAATAAATACCTTATGCTGTGGCTTTATGCATTGTTATATATTACATATTACGATATTTTTACTTCAAAAATAATAACGTAGATATATAGTCCAGCACCAAGAAATTTTCCGTTAAACTTTTATTCGAAGTTTAAGCGTTTCCACATAGAGAGAAAGAGAGAGAGAGAGAGTTTAAGTTTCTTACTACTTGTGCTTGCAAGTAGTCTCGTATTCATCTCTAGTCTATTCTGATTCTTTGAATTTTGATACCTCTCCTGGAGATGTGATCGGCAGAATATCAACTCCTAAAACATTAAGAAAAGTTACTCGTTATTACCTTACGCCTTCTCAGCACATTCATGTAGGAGGCGTAATATCTCCTTCCTTCAATCATTTCTCATTCAACAATGACGATTGCCATGCAAGCCTAATCGGCTTGTATGTCTAGTACGTAATTGCTATCACTCAACCGCGTTCGCATATATTAAATCTTCAGGATACATGGAAAATGGGAAGGTATCACTCGCTTTTTTCTATTGTATTCTATTGTATAATAGTATAAAAAGAATTAATCACCATTACGAGTGTAAAAGAGGCATGGTGTTTCTTCATTAATTTTTTTCAAAGATCTCATAACTGCAATCATTCAAGCGAAATTCTGTTTGTTTTTATAATATGGAAAGAACACGAAGGTCGTTCTTTCTCTTCCTGTTTCAGCGAAAAAGCAAGCATCATCGTTTTTATCATCGATGGATCCGATTTATCGAAGTGGACAGAGCGATTATAATCGTTCATCATCGCGTGATGTCGTCGCGTGATATAAACTTCATTCTGAGGCACGATTAGATACATTGTTTTAATACAAATACGGAACTGTTAGGCGGATAATAAGTGCTGCGTCGGATTACTGCTCGATTACGCAATATATAATTGCGATTGATCGATTGAGGGGTCTTTGAGCGGAGACGCATGATGTTGAACTTTCTCGAGGATTTCGAGATAGTTTCATGGTGTTATACGGGCATAACAACTGCTGAATGTGCCGACACTAAACTCTGAGATTTTATGGTTCTCATCGTAGACCAATTTCCGCTATCGCTTAATCTGAGGGCAATAGGTATTTTCCATCATGGTGATTTGATTTTATCAATTAATTAACTTATTTCAGAGAAAAGAAATATTACTTCCATCTGATGCGCAGAAGTCCTAGTTTTTCAATGAATTTTATGTCAAATCGTTAGAATGTCTAAAAATAAAGATATCACTTGCATTTAGCAGGGAAAGTAGCTCATAGATCTAAGGTGGCATTCAAGATTACAACATTTTCTCAAATTATATTTAATATGTGCTCAAATACATGTGTCTTTATTTGATTTGGTATAGTAATGTACAAACTAAACGTTCTTACCCAGGAAAGGCACATAAGTTCAGGCAATTTATCTTCCAAATTTACTATGAAATTTTCAGGGAATTCTTACTTAGTTCCATTGATGTTAAACCATTTACCAAATTGACAGTTACTAGAAAATTTCAACAAGCCGCGCCTGTTTCTAGCTCATTGTTTTTCGTGAATGTTGATTCATTCAGTAAGCGGGAATGTGTTCAAAACAGAAGTAACATGTTGACAGTTTGACGTTTTGTGACGGCTGGCCGAAATTTTCTAATGTGTACCATTTACTGAATGGTATAACATCAATGGAACTTAATATACAGAATTTCTAAGGCACCTGTATTTTCATGTACTTGTAACAAAGTTTCTACCACGAACCTGTTCGATTAAAATTTTTTGCTTTTAAAACTTCTGCAACGTGTGCACCTCGGATAATAGAATTCTACGTAGCATTTATAAAAATGACTTGCTATTATGGTAATTTCTTCAGATCAAGGAGAACACAATGTGCTTCCCACGATTATTTCTTTAAGAATCATAGTCACGCATGTAATTCAGTTCCGTTCTGTTAGAATAACCAATGCAGTCGTACTTTAAATAGTCTTCAGTACACGCAAGAAATGCGAGAATCACTTGTACTTTATATATGGTATAGCTTTGTCATGGGATAATCTTCTTGAATAAGAGAAAAGACTGATATTCGCTTCAGGAGACGTACCTTCAATTCTCAATGCTTCTCAATACTTCTCAATACTTCTCAATACTTCTCAATGCGTGTTTCAAACGTATTACTGAACTAATCGACGAAATTATAGGATGGCTATGTGGAAAAGAATTGTAACTATTATACTACGCTATGTATAATCATGATTGATTGCTGCTCACCAGAGTGGGGACAAAGCATATGGGGATATACTTGGAGGATTGAACGATGCTCTTTCTGTTTACCATACACGCGTGTGCAGTGCATGCTTCGACTTTTATATCAACTCTTACCGCTATAGTACGCGACACATACGATGTACAACGTTTGATCGTTGTTCATGGGAGTAGGGACACAGCACGTAGGGCTGAACTTGGAAAATTGTTCGGCGCACTCTCAGTTCCTCGTAGATGAGAGTGTCGTATATGCTTCGATTTTCGCTTTCTACAGTATCCTCGATATTGTTGATAGATGGTAGTCACAAGCACGATCTGTCCAGTGCTGAAATTTGGACTCCGCGTATTCGGTATGTGGCCGGACGTATCTTTCGCCGTTGTCCTCCAGCTCACTTATCTGTTGACCACACTTCTCGTACAGTACTTTCAGTATCTGTACATATTCATGATTTGCAAGCGCGGTGAGTTACATGGTCTCGCAGACAGTTTGCCGGGGACTGTATATTATAGCTTAGCGGGCTTCAAGGCAATCATAATTTGGAAGCAACATCGGTAAGATACTGTGATAGGCAACGCGCAGATTTTCTTCTTCTGCAACTTGTTTGTGTATTCGTGGAACATAATTGTCGCGGAGTCTCTCATCGTGTATCATTTGTCTGTTAATTCTCATTAAAGAGGAACGTGGATTACTAATTACATTATCTAAATAGTAATCAACGCCGCGTTTAATGTTTGTTGAAATGATAACGTCACTGCTACAAGTATCTCTATCCGATTAAAGAAACACTTTGCAGTATAGTTCGCGAAATATTGGCCGCTGTGGATACTGATTGGCGAGAGTGCGTGAAAGTCGACCAACATTTGCACGTAATGAAGTCAAAAGCAAGCATCTCGAGATTTTGTACGCACTTTTTGTTGTGTTTCAATACGATCTCTGGTTCACTCTACTTCGGAGGTGATAACTTAGTAGCTATTGTACAAATTTTGCGGGGATACAATGTTACTTCACGACCATTTCCCACGAAGTTACTGCTTCCTTTTGATGCCGAGCAATCGCCGGTCTACGAGTTGATCGTCTTCGTCTTGTACTTGCATTCGATGTTAATGGTATACATAGACAATCTTGTCAGGGTTCTCATACTTAGTCTGGTACGTTTCGCAAAATGTTATGAACATTAGACTCACAAGCCAAAAATATTGACGAGATATTTAATACGTTCATTACCTGTGATTTAATTTAGTTTTTAAAACTCACTTTGGCACAAACTCTGACGTTACCTAAGATTTGACATAGATAAATATTTATTAATAATAGGTGGAAAGATTGGTATAATTCAATAATTTTTATCATCACACATGTGAGGAACATTGGGTTCTGCATTCTTCTTCCCTTTAATCGCGAAATCTTCCCAAATGCAATTCCTCTCTTAAACATAATACTTGAAATGTTTGCAGATATTTAGGTATATTTTAGGTCTTTCATGCGTCCGGACAAATCGAAATCATCTGTCAAGAGTTGAAAGCTAGTTCTGAGGAAACACAAAATAATGGATCTCTGGCTTATACAACAAGAATGTTGATCCAGAATCATAATAAAGTCATCTCATTTTCCAATAATATTGATAGACTCTTCTCTTACATAGCTTTGATGCTAGTTTTTTGTGATACCATAATAATTT